TGTAAATAACAAGTGAAAAAATTTTCAGCCTTATCAGTTGGACATTCCGGTTTTTAAACTGCTTTTTTTTAATTCACTAACGCTCTAAAAATGAATATTTCAGCCGCAGTAAAGAATCAACTTTGGAGGACTTTGGTTCTTGAGATCCTTTACGATCGGTTACGATGCCTAGAGTACGGAGACCTGTACGATTTCGTCAACTTAGTGAGTTTGATAGGGGCCGTATAGTGGGACTTCGGGAAGCTGGACTTTCTTTTCGGGCAATTGCAGTTAGAGTACAAAGAAGTGTAGACACTGTGGTTAGGTGTTGTCAGGCATGGCTTCGAGAAGGCCGTACGCAAAGAGCAAGGGGCACTGGACGCCCTCGTAGAACAACAGACCGTGAAGATCGCCGCCTAAGATTATTGGCCTTAAGGGACCGTTTCTCCACTACCAGGTCCATTGCAAATGAATGGTTTGCAGAACACGGAAGACCTATTGGCATGCGAAGTGTTTACCGACGAATGAGAGGTTTTGGCTTGTTTTCATACCGGCCACACTGGGTCCTCCCTTTAACTCGAGAACACCGACGTAATCGCCTTGAGTGGTGCAGACAACGGCCACTCTGGGATCAGGAATGGAACAGTATTGTCTTTAGTGACGAGTCTCGATTTTGTTTAGGCATGCACGATGGTCGTGCCAGGGTTAGAAGGCGACGTGGTGAAAGGAGGAATCCACAGTTTTTTATTGAAAGACATGTTCATCACACTGTTGGAGTTATGGTTTGGGGTGCTATAGCTTATGGTTCCAGGTCGCCTTTAATCTTCATCAGAGGTAACATGAACGCGCAGCGTTATATCCACGAAGTTCTAGAACCCCATCTTTTACCCTATCTTGACACCCTGGCAGATCCAACTTTCCAACAAGATAATGCCCGACCACATGTTGCAAGAGTCACAATAGACTTCTTTCAACATAATGATGTCACATTGTTACCATGGCCACCAAGATCTCCCGACTTATCCCCAATTGAGCACGTGTGGGATACGATGGGTAGTAGATTGCTCAATTTGCAACGTCCTCCTCAGACTCTAGAAGCACTTCGAGAGGAGTTGGTGGTTGCCTGGAATGAGATACCACAGGAGGACATTGACCACCTGGTCAGAAGCATGCCTAGGCGCGTTGGAGAATGCGTAGCACATCAGGGTGCATCCACACATTATTAAAGGTCAAAGGGCTTTAAAGCAGTGCAATCATTTTGAAATTTTTATCATTTACTTATTATGCTTCATTAAGTACTTATACAAAATTTTATTAAAATAAAACTATTTAAACTGGGTGTTCGGATTTATATGTCACTTAGTATATTTGAGGTAAAATGTGCATGAAAAACTTCGATCCATACTTATTTGAAAATACGACGAAGGCAGTAAAGTCTGACATTTGAAATTGTATGTAGTATATTAAGAGAGTAATCCCCACCGGTTTATTGAACAATATTAATGTTTTCTCCTCATTCGGTGGCATACACATTTAGAACACCTTCAAATAGGAGTTTTTAGGACATAAGTTTAGAATGGCGGCTCTAAATGGGCAATATTTTTACTTCATTATCTAGCAAAGTTAGAGTAAGCATGCCACATACAGCAATATTTTTATTATGGCCCGGCTTGCGATATATTTTCGTATATTGCTGTCAGATTCCCGAACGATCGAAATGTAGGCTGCCATGACTTGTACAGTTCCGTCGGCACATTTGCCAGATTTTGCATTTGTTAACAAATTCTGCCTAACAGACAAGGTTAAAAATCGCTTCAAAATAAAGTAAACTCAAAATGCCCATCGAGGACCTACAAAGCAAGGTTTAAATTAATGTACTTGGAGACGTCAAAAATTAATTTTTAACCGAGTTTTTAAGCATTGATTATATCCATTTTTAGGACTTTTCAGATATCAAATCGCTTATAACTCGAAAATGGTCAGCTTTAGAGAAAAGTTAATGGAAGAAGTTTTTGTTCGGAAGGATCCTAAAAAACCTGACAAAATTTAAAAAATAACATATTTGATCTGGGTTGCCGTGCGGGTATATTAAATGCTTAAAAATTTGGTCAAAAATTTAAATTTTTGAGGTTTTCAAGTGTCTGAATTTAAGTTAAAATCTTGCTCTATAAGACCCTGAACAGCATTTTGAGATTTGTTTATTTAAAAGCGATTTCAACCTTGATTTTCAGGCCAAAATTGGCAATGTTTTGGTTTCACAGAGAGTTATTTGGAAGGTGTAGCTATGGACTGATACTATGTTTGGAAAGAAGCAAGCTTGGTTTAATTGCTAAAAGAAGGGTCGTGATTGCATTTAGTTATTTTTATACACTAATTGAGACATAAGCCTCAATTTTTGTAAAAGTCAATCTCTATTCGCTGATTTTGTTTCGTAAGCTGTCGAGTTTGTTTATTGATATGCTAGAAGTTTCTCAAATACGAATATTTAATTTTTTAAACCTACTGCACGTCAATACATCGACGCTTAAAATGTATTGTCAGCTTAAGGAAGCTTCTGTTTTTCATAGGCCACTGATGATTCGGCATACGTGAAAACAGGTTTTTTAGATCAAATTCGAATATTACATAAAAATGTTAGGAATACTATGAAAATAAAGTTTCGAGTTCTTTATCTCGATACAATTTTCCAGCGGGATATGATAATTTTCTGTTTTAACGCGTTTGTGCAAAATCTGAAAAACAGGTGAGAAAAGTAAAATAATATATAAAAATTTCCCATTTTTTTCGGGATATCGAGGAAAGAAAAATATTTTTAGAACGTCAATTAAATTACCTAAAGTTCCTCGTGGCCTTCCACCTGCATCGACTAAGCACTGGTAAGTATAGTGGTCCCTGGTAACGGAGGAAATGTTGGTGGTTAACCATTCTCCAGCTCCTCCCACCGTAAACAGTGCCTTAGGATCCACAGACTTGATTGCGTCAGCGTGCCAGTTGATGAAACGTAAAATATCCTGCAATCAAAGAGACAAAATGCATCGCTTTTGACTAAATTTAGGTGTAAAGGTAAACCCAGCATATCCTGAAAGGACAATGGTTCATATTCAACAGATTTTGATTTTTTCTTATTCAGGCTGAAAAAGTTGCTATAATGCAGTTATAAAAATGTTGGTTTATGGTATAAACTGATGGGAGCAATTCTGCTAAAATGGTGGCACTTACTTACTTACGTACCGGAAGTAAATACTAACTTGCTTATTTCAAACAGAATACCCTGTATATTAATTAATTCTTGGATTCTACGCGAGATTGTGAATACATTTTGTGTATATTATTCTATATATAAATCTAACCGTTTTCGAGATCTGAAATTCTAAGTAAAAAATTACAAATGCAGGCCGACAAGTTATATCAAGTTTTTATCGTGCCTTTACCATGTGGTTTGAAACGTATTTCTTACAGTACGGGACCTACTTTAGTAGATTTTATTCCGATTTCGATAACAAATAGTACACTGAGAAACCCAGAAAGTCGGTTTTTTCATACGGAAATTATATTTTTCATAATTTCATCGTATTTATTAAGCATTGAACATAAGGTTAATTTTGTATAAGGTTGTCTAACTTGCAAATTACTAGTTTTCGAGTCATATGGAAATATTGGTTTATCTGTTGCTTAAATGGTCCATGGGGCTTTTACCGTAAGATAATCTGTTGGCTGATTCATACGGTGGGTAAATATAGATGATTGAAATGAGTTCCCTCTCAATGTACGAATTTCAAATACGTTTTTTTGCACACGAACAAAATAAGTCGACAATAACCTGCGTATTCAGTGACAGGAAATATGGGAAACAACTCATTTTGAGTGTTAATGATGTATATCAAAAATATTCTCTTGCAATTTTTCACCCTGATATTGTTATTTTGACTATTCGAACGATGGTTTCACAAGGAATGTGCGATAGCAATTCGTTCCATTTCAGATAAGTATTTTGATGTTTTATGAAAATAAATCAATGCCACTTATTACTGTAGTTGTATCGGTATGTCTATCACCGTAAGATTCTGGATACTGATTTACCGAATAGAAAATGATAGTCTTTCAGTATCAGATACATCATTGTGTGGCAAATACCGGATCAATCTTCCTGACTCCTTTTTGGCTCGACTTACGTCCATCAAAAAAAAAAAAAAGATTTCTATTTAGTTCCATTTCAAACAGGTCACTAAATGTACTTTTGAAAAAAAAATATATTTATCTGAAACGGTTCCTCGTCTGTATTGCTAAAATCATAAAATTGGGCGTTCCTCTCATATACTCGTATATACATATTTATTTCGACAATGTTATACAGGGTGTTGGTCACGTTTCGCATTCCTGAACCAAAGATCATGTAAGCATCCGTCTTAAAAACGGTAGTTTTCAAGATACAAGGCTTCCAAGCCCAAAAAACTGATTTTTATCAATATATCAAATTAATATCCTTGAGTCGATTTTATTGAATTTTGGCAATGTTGTTCATTTCAATAAGTTGATACGTTAGCACTAACCAGAAGATAATCATGAATTCCACTGACTTACCCATAATGTTGACAAAAAATGTACGCAACTGATATTTTCAAAACTATATTTTTTTCGGATTAAGCAGCTAATGGTTCTCTTGGTATCTCTTCGTATCTTACTTTGTTTTCGAAAAAAAAATAAAAACAACTTCATTATATAATAATAATAATAGGAGGGTTTTCTATATTCAGGATCAGGTTATTTGAACTAAAAACTACGAACACCATATACTAGGACTGAATATACATGCTGTATGTAGAACTGCCATACGCCAGGTGAAACAATAGAAGACGTCACCTCCACCTGCAACATGTTGGCTAATACTGCTTACTTATCCCGGCATAATCAAGTAGCCAAAATGATACACTCAATCTTAGCTCAAAATTATAATCGCATCGAATCAACCGCGCCATATTATAAATATATACCATACCCAGTACTCGAGAATCAGTCGGCCCCTCTTGTACTGGGATAGGGTAGTCATAACTGATAAGACAGTTGACTATAACCGGTCAGATATACTACTGATTGATAAAAATAAACGAAAAACATACATAATCGACATAGCAGTGCCACTCACAGCCATCATAATTAAAACCGAATACACGAAGGCTGAAAAGTATGAAAACCTTGCAATTGAAATCAAAAATATTTGGAAACTATTAGATGTGTACATAATACCAGTAGTAGTGGCTGTGGAAGAGACAGTCTCTGTAAATCTCCACTCACACATAGAGAGTTCGAGCGCATTTGACAAACATATCAGATAGTACGAAAGTTCTTCGCAATAGGCTGAAGTGAATTCCTCCTCTATTGTGTACATACCCCGTGTGTAATGGTGAAAGACCAACAAAAAATGAATAATAATAATTATCCGTGTCCGACCAACATCAATAGGTTACCTGGTGCGTGGCGACACTGCATGGGTAAATCCGCCAGGAGGCACTCTCGGCTGGCACTCTACACAGGGTGTTTCAGAACTATGGGATCAAACTTGTAGGGGTTATTCAGTGTAACAGTAGAATACATTTGAGTATAGGGACCCATATCCGGAAAGGTGTCACTACGGCCCTAAAACGCGTTAAAATTTAGAAAGATGAATTGCCTAAATAGGATTTAATGCATTTAGTTTTTGCCTTTTGTACATGATGTCATCACAACAATTGTTCAAAATGTCTTCCTCCAACCTGAATACACCGTTCCCGTGGGGACATGTAAAGTCTTTGGTTTACGAAACTCCAGTAGAAACAGAGCAAGACTTAATTGGACGAATTACAGCAGCATTTGAAATCATTCAAAACGAGTATCAAATTTTTAGTCAACTCCGGCGAAATCATGTGCGACGTTTAAATCGGTTGGAGTCTTGGATGGCCAACTACCACCCTGGACCTTCACTCCATTGTTCCCAACACAAAGAAGAGAAACCTTTACGCCCGTCTCCACTGGGAACGGGATTTAGGGCAAGATGGCAGTGACCCGCGTCGTACGGGCTACATCTCGCATGTGTGATAGGTGGTGCGAAATGCATCCTGAGCATAGCGCGCTTACCTCTGAGAACTTGCGGGATTATGTAGCGTACCTGCGGAGGCAGGGATATGTTTGTGCTCCAGCTCAGCCTGCTTCACCGGAGACTGGAATTCCTGTAACACAGGCTGAGATGTTACTGTCACGGCTCGCTGAGAGGAAAAGCCACACCGTAATTCCACCTGGTGATCTTAATGACCGAAGGGCCTTACATAACATCAGGGAGCCCTCAAAGTTGGCAGACCTAAAGAAAAATGTCTAGGTCTTCATGAGCGTCTCTCGGAGGAGTCTGACGTTTCGCGTATCAGGTGCGAATGTGACAAGGGAGAGTGATACGCTCTCCTGAAGATTTAGCACAGAGGCGCGAGCGCCAGATGGAAGCGAAAATCCAGTTGACTCGCAAGGAAGCATCCCATATCCAGTGTGTGATGGACTATACAGCGACCGAAAGGCCTTTCACGTCTCGTGTGCGCCGCATGGCCTCTGAACCCAGGCGCAACCATCGCACACTCATACGATACTTGCTGTACTCAAGCAACATTATCTCAGAAGGATACGGATGCTAATGGCTGCTAAGAGATCGTTGGTGGCGCGGGCGAAGGGTTTGAAGCAAAACAAATTGTTCCTGCTGGAAGGACGTTTATGAAAGACCGAAGCCTTTTCAGGTAAACACTCCGGCCTTGGCGCAGCTTGAGCCTTTTGTCAAAGGACTCCCCTAGCAGATATACTGCGTGAACCGATAACCACGGAAGAAATTTGTAGAGTCTTCATAGGTGCTTAGAATTTCGCAGTTCCTGGCCCGGATGGCATGAACACCTACTGGTGAAAGGAATTTCTCAGTTGCCACGGGCATTTGGCTGAAATTTGTGGCTAAATCAGGGGTAGCCAATTCCGCCTTGGTTTGTCGAGGGCCGAACGTGCTACTCCCGAGGACGGGATTCCAAGAATTACAGACCAATAAAATATCTTAACGCATTGTACAAGGTTTTAATTTTGTACATGCGAATACTTAAAGCTGTAAACCCGGTATTTTTCAGCGTTTATGAGCAGCGAGGATCAAAGAGAGGAGTAGCTGACTGTAAGGAGAACCTGTTGAGTGACCGCTGTGTCACACAGGACTCAGTGCAGTACAAGCGAAACCTTTCGATTGCATGGATTGACTATCGTAGGGCATTTGACACGACGGCTCATGAACTGATTGTGCGTCTGTTGGAATGGCTTGGGGTAGATGATCAAATTGTGATATGCATTGAAGAACTGATGCCGCTCTGGAGGACTTGGTTTCATAATCACGTCTGGTGAAACCAAACTTCGGGGGACTCTTTAAGTCGCTTTGATGTTCTGCATCTCACTGCTTCCGTTATCTTATCAAGATCATCTTTTATATGGATGACCTAAAAATTTACGCCTCTAGACAGCGCGATTTACAGCAGTCGCTCAGGGTAGTACAGGAGTATGAGCGTGCTATTGTTATGAAATTTGGAATAGACAAATGCGCTATGGTTCATCTCAAGAAAGGACGATACGGTGATGGTGAAGAGGGGGAGCAGCTAGTGGATGGGAACATGCCTTGGAACGGCGCAGCACCATATCCAGGAGGTTAGCGTGGTATTTTACACCATCGGGACCATCAACTGGACAGCCGATGAGCTGCGACAACTCGACACCAAAACTCGAAAAATAATGAACGTGCACAGAAGTGAATCCTAAAAAGGCTTAGGTTGCACACACGCCGATTTTGGACGGCCGGTAAAATATCGGCCTACCACATTTTAATAGTAAACCATTGGAGGGCATTGAAGCTTGCACATTGGCCGACCACCGACCGGCACCGGAAAAAAGCCGGTTAGCAGCCGGACATTGTCACTGTGATGCGCCGGTACCGGGATATAGAGGCATACGTGTTTGAATAGGAGCTTGCACACTTACCTATTATTTAATGGCCGTGATTACTACTGCATATACGTTTATAATGGATAAAGGGATGAACATCGATAATGACATACTTATTGCGCTAGTGGAAGCAAGACCAGTTTTATGGGATAAAACTTTGGACATATATAAAGGCAGAAATGCTACTAGAGAAGCATGGAGCCAATTTTGCTGCGAACTGAATGAGGATTTCAAAGAAATGGAGTCCAAAGAGAAAAACGAATCCAGAACTTTCGCTTAATTCTCCGGCGCTTTATACACTGGTACAGTAACCACATTGTAACAACTCGTTGGGGATTCATTAAAAATAATATTGGGAATCAGCACTACACCGGTGCGTGTGTAAGCAGAGCCCACCGATAAAAAATCAGGGAGGGCGTGGACTATTGTGTTTGGAGCATCTGCATGCCAGGGTGGTACTGAGCACTGCCTGTGATGTGAGGAAGTACCGATCTCCTCATCCGCTTTGTGCGTTCTAGGAGAATGCTGGTAATGCAGCTTTTCTTTTTAGAGCAACGAAAAGAGCAGCCGAGGAACTCAGTCTCATACTCGAATTCAAGCGGGAATGCCAGCAGTCCTTTACAGAGATGGCTCCTGCTCAGCTGAAGAGCAACATAAAAACAGCTGATGCAAATTACTTATTAAGGCTTTATGTGTGTTGCCCTATGCTCCAGAGGATAATGAGTCCGTTGTGGAGAACGAGAAATGCCGGATTTATTGGAACTGCTCGTTCCCCACGGTCGAGCTGGTGCAGACGAATAAGCCCGACATAGTCCTTCTCGACCACGAATGGAAGGCGATGATCGTTATTGAATTTTCGGCTCCGGTCGAAGTGAACATCGTCTCGAAGGAGGAGGAAAAACGGACTAAATATCAGGAGCTCCTCAGCCTAACCACGCTGTCAGTCTGCTAGTCATGGTCATTGGTATGCCGAGCATCGGCAGGCATCTTTGCCGGAAGAATACAGAAAGGGGTCATCCTTGGTTACCTCTGTCTACTTAGGGCACACGATTTGCTGTTGCTTACCTCACGGTGTTAGGAGTTGTTAATGGAACAGCAGCTTGGTATGTCGGAACCCAGGTTGCGTAGTTTTACTTTTCTTTTCATATAATAATAATAATAATAATCGCCTTTATTTATGTTGACTATTTATAGGCGTATGTCAAAAAATTGTTAAATTAAAACTGAATCACAATTCAGCTTTGTTCGTTGCCAAGGAATATTGCTAAGAACATATTTTTGACTTTCCAGGCTATCTTTGAGATATTAAGAAACATTTTTTTTAATTTTGACACCCTGGATCTTGGAAACCAGACACATGTTTACAGGAACTTTCCATTTTAATTTGCTTTGGGAATGCGCCTTGTAATTACGGCCTATCATTAAATAACGCTGTGTAAGTGCAATTACAAATTTAAATATTAACCGGAATAGACAGTGAGTAAGTACCTACGTATCACAACCTTTCAGTTTTCTTTATCACTGTATTTGAGAAAAATGAAGCAGGTGAAATTTACAGTTTTATAAAAAACGTCTCAGCAAACACAAAATTACTCCAACAATCAGATGTGATTTCAGTATGTGTTGCTGTTGAACTTGTGAAAAAAGAATTGCTTTCTGGAACTGCAAAAGTTTGCATTCGACTATGTATTTAATTTACATCGGCCAGGCACTTGCTGAGAATTTGTTGGTCATATAATTCAACGTGATACAAGAAAGCTACCAAGTATCTAATATAATTTAAAATTTAATAGACTTTATCAAAGACATTCTATCGTGTCTTTATTACGATATACTTTTAACTACATTCATAATCGCATAGTTATATAACATCTTTCAGCAGATTGTGTTAATATCAAATAGTCATTAAACTTTGACTTATTTCTAATTCTGTAAATTCACATTAGTTCTAGTATTGTGATTATAGAAAAACTTTGAACTTTTCATTTACGATCGGATGGGATTTGTCATGATATGTATTCTAATATGCAATGCGTGCGAAACTGGCAACCGTTTCTATGCTGGTGAATATTTTCATTTTTATATGTTATTCTTAAGCATTTACTTGAACATACGTAGTTTTTTCAAGTACTATTCGTCATTCTTGTCAGGGAGGTCCATTCAAGTTTGAAGTAATGTAATACCTATCTGAAACTTATTCTGTGGCCGTTAAGTAGCTTGACTCTGCACTTTCACACAACGCTGTCATCAGTTCATAAATGATTACGTTCATCCCAATTAAGTCCCTCTAATCTAGCTAACTAGCTATAAAAAAAATGAATGGCTCAAGTCAGTCAAACCGGTCATTACAATTAGTAATACTCCCCACCCATTTGGCGCTGCACCAGATCACTCCACCACGCCATAAACGCCAGTCACGATACTATAACTACTATAACTCGGGATCAAGAACGACGGCGATGCAGTCAGACGGACACAGAGTTTGGCGCATGTTGTTTGCCTTCGTCGCAAACGACCGCGTGTCGCGTCTGTAAATGTTGAGTAGTTACCGTATGTGATAATTTCATCAAAATTAGTAATATGGCTTTTCGTGATGTACATGTCGTATAACATCCAAAAAACATAATGTCATTTTCGAAATTTTTCGCGCCAGTAGACAGGCATGGGTAAAGAGTACAATATTATATTTTGTCTGTCTTCCAGGTTTTTGCTGCTGTTATCGGAAAACACTTTATAGTATCGACAAAAGCAAATAAGCTGTTACCTGAAAAACAGGTAAATAAAATATTTTATCATTGAACATGTTTAGCCGCCAGGGATAGCTTTGACAGTTTGACAGTAGTCTTCGGTTGACGTTCAGTTTTTATAGTTTGTTGATTAAATGTTGCAAACTATCAAAGCTATTCCGCTGCTACTGCTGTTCAGCATAAAGCGATGCGCCTTTGGACCGCTTTACGTTGGCTGAATTCTCCCAAAGCCACTTTTAGAGCTGTACTAAAAGTTCATAAATAAATTCGAGTTTCTCAAAAACAAACCTCAACATTTTCCAGATCAATTTAAAATGTATAAATCCTAGTTAACAATGCAACCCAGGCACTCCCTCCTCTCTGGTATCATCCTCGTTTTCTTTCTTATCCTTTTTTTCCATCCTAGCTTTGTCTGCTATCTGGGCAATCAAGCCTGACATACCTACTCATCTACAACACTTCAACCAAGAGGTCATGCAAAGATCGAACATTAGTTAAAGAAATAGGTTCAATTTGAGCCTATATCAAATATTTGTCTGAATATCAGTCTTATAATGACCCTTATTTCTATGAATTTATTGTATTTAATTGTATTTGGGGCCCAGAGAAACGGAGTTTTATCAAGGGCGGATTTAGTATTTCGTCTAGGGGAAGGCGCAAACGATATTTGGGGCTGGTAATTTTTCAACCTCAGTGGAACTTTTACAATTTATCCTCTTATTGCTCCTTAAATCCATTGTGTTCTATCTGGTCAAAGCCAGCTTGAAAAAAAAAAACATGGAAAAGCCTCAGTAATCATCAGAAATGCAATATTATATGAGAACAAAAGAAGTACGTGTCGTTTATAATTAACTAGTGTAATAATATCTATTAAAGATTAAAACATAAAAAACTTAATTGCTCTGTTAACCGAAAAAAACGTCTTTGATGGCGAAAACGAACATGAGACCGAAAAATATAGATATATATATATATATATATATATATATATATATATATATATATATATATATGTAGATTCTGATGGATCGGTCCTCCACTCATGGGCTTTTTAGAGTCGATAGGTCCTCCGCTCTGATAGGTCCTCCGTATAAGGAGGACCTATCGCAAATTCCACCTATCGGCCCCTCAGGCCCCCCTCTGTCACCTGGCAAAATTTCAGAGGGATGACCTAGATCATGTTTTTCGCCGAATTTGGGTACCGTAGTTCAGGGTTTTGCCGCGCCGATTTGGTGGACTCACGATCGCTTGGGTATTCAGCCCGTATATTATCAAATATTACCAGTCAGGTCTACAGTGGATCGGTCATCTGCCGGGTATTCAGTATCCAGATTATCGCTTTTAGATCCTCCTTAATATTGGCATCGCTGTATTAGGTATTTTATTATATTTGCTGTGTTAGAGGATCGGCTTTTCACCTTTCTATGTCTGGTGCGGCCCAGTTCGCCGTCAGGCATTATAATAGGGGCGTCCGTGACCGAGAGTACCGTAATGCAGCAATAATATATTTGTTCGATTACTATCATTATTAATATAATTATGATTACGATTATGGTTGTGATTATGATTATGATTACGATTATTATTACTAGTTTTCGGAAAAAAATGTTTTTCCAATCAGGTTTTAGACTCATAACAAGTCGATTTGACATAAGTCACCTCTATGCAAAAGTGCTTCGTTTATTTGCCAACTAGATTTTTACGCTTGATGTGTTAAAACATTTTTTTAGAAACCAGCCCCAAAAAAGGTTTTTTTTTCTCGAAAACTATGAAAGATATCTCGTTTTAATGAGAGACAAAGGATGGAATAAATAAAAAAATCGGTCATGAGGAAAGTTGGGAAAAATTCTGCTACAATTTATGTAGGTGTGGGGGTAGTTTTCACCCTTCCAAAAAGCTCTGGAGTTTTTCGTAAAAGGCAAATATTAGAACGCTGAGCAGAGCATATGTGTTCCAAATTTCATTAAAATCGACCTACCGGCTTTTGAAATATCTTGGAAAACGTGTTTTTAAAGAAAACTTTGATGCCCCCTAACGAAGCACCTTCGAATACAGATAACTTATGTGCAATCGACTTGTTCTCAGTCTGAAAATAACTAGTAATCTCACGTCCATGGAATATTGGGTCACGATGTGTACAATACATGATTATATGAACAAAGAGCAAAGTTTAGCGTAAAGCTACTCAAGCTAAATTAAAAAGGGTAATATAGATAGACCATTATGCAAATACAACCACATGAATAGAAAATCAAGGATGGTGTAGTATTAAGGAAAAATGTTCACAAAAAAACACTCTCAAATATGATAAAGGTGAT